TCTCAGATGACTAATGATGTCTGGCTTCTTTTCATGTGTTTATTTGGCATCTATATCTATTCTTTGTTGAAGTATCTGTTCAAAACTTGTTTGTTTTTTTTTTTTTTTTTGGTAGCCAGGTTATCTTGTTTTATAGCGTGTTTCCTACATATCCTGGATGTAAGTCCTTTATCACACATAAGTTGAACAAATACTTTAACCTAGTCTGTGGCGTATATTTTCATTTTCTTAAGAGTTGGCATTTCAAAGCAAATGTTCTTTATTTTAATGAAATCAATTAAAGATTTTAAGAAATATTTACCTCATTCAAGGTCACAAAGATTTTTCTCCTATGTGTTCTTTCAAGAAGTTCTACTTTTAGCACTTAAGTTTGTCTACACTACATTTTTTTCTGTTACATTTTGAGTTAATTTATATGTAAAGTAACAGGTGAGGTTCTTTTTCTTTTTAGATATGGCTAACCAATTGTTCATCATCATTTGTTAAAAAGATCATTTGTTAAAAAGATGGACATACCTTGACATCTTTGTCAAAAATCAAATTGATCATAAATGTTTGAGTCTATTTCTGAACTCTGTTACAGTCCATTGGTTTACATGAGTCTATCCTTAAATAACAAGCTATCCTAAAGAATGTAATTTTACATTAAGTCTGTTGTTTTTTTCTCAAAATTGTTTAAACTATTCTGGATTATTTACAATTTCACTTAATTTTAGAATCAGCTTGTCAATCTCTTTTTTTCCTTTTTTTAAATTAAAAAGAAATAGAGATGGGGTCTCCCTATGTTGCCCAGGCTGGTCTTGAACTCCTAAGCTCAAGTAATTCTCCCACATGGGCTTTCCAAAGTGCTGAGATTATACGTGTGAGCCACCATGCCTGGCTATCTTGCCAATTTCTTTAAAAAAGAAAGAAAGAAAGAAAAAGCTTGTTCAGATTTTGGATAGGGCTGCTTTGGACCTCAGATCAAATTTGGAGAAAACTGACATCTCAATAATATTGAGTCTTCCAATCCATGAGCATAGTATAGTACAACTCTCCATTTTTAAGTTTTAATTCTCCAAAACAGTTTTATAGTTTTCAGTGAGCAGGTCTTATGCATACATTTTCAAATTTATCTATATGTATTTATTTTTTGATAGTATTTAGACACTAGTTTTAATTTCAGTTTCTGATTCTTCATTGCTAGCATTTCATCAGGGATAAAATTGAGTTTTGTATATTGACCCAGTATGCTATGAATAGCTAAACTCATTTATTAGTTCTAACAGCTGTTGTTTTTTTTTTTTTTTTCCTCATAGATTCTCTGGGACTTTCCACATAAACAGTCAAGAATATGTGCTAAAAAGACTATTTCATTTCTTCCTTTCCAATCAGGATGGTCTGCAGTTCCCATTTCTTGAAATGCCTTTGTATGCATTTAGTGTTCAGGTAATGCTGGTCTCATATAATGTTGTTGGGAATTTAATCTCCTTTTCTATTTTTTGCAAGAGTTTGTGTAGAAATAGTATTATTTCTTCATTAAACATTTGATAGAATTCATCTGAACTACAAGTTTTCTCTGAGGTAAGGTCTTTTACTACAATTCAGTTTCCTTTGTAGAGCTATTAAGGTTAACCATTTCTTCATTAGTGATATTTGATAGCTTGTGCCTTTCAAGGAATCTATTTCATCTAAGTTGTCTAATTTAGTAGCATAAACTTGTTCATAATATTTCTTTATTTTTCTTTTAATATCTGCAGTATCTGATGTTCCCTCCTTTATTCTCGATATTTTTATGTCTTCTCTTTCTGCATAAGTCTTTGCTAGATATTTACTATTAATACAAAATTAATCTTGTCAAGAGACAGCTTTTCATTACATTGAATTTTTCCTCTATCATTTATTTTTATTATTTTTTTCTTTCTTCAGCTTACTTTGAATACATGTGCTCCTCTTTTTTCCCACGTTCTACAGACTGAAGCTAAGATCATTGATTTTAGGCAATGATCCTCTCCTCCTTCCCTCCTGCTTCCCCTCTCCCTTCTTAAATAAAATCATTTAATGCTATAATTCTATACTAGGCACTTCTTTACCTTCATGTTAAACATTTCTATAGGTTGTGCTGTTATATTTTCAATTAGTTACAATATTTCTAATATCCCTTGTAATTTCATCTCTGGCCCATGTTTTATGTAGAAGTATGTTAATTTCCAAATACTCAAGAGATTTTCCAAAAACCTTTCTGTAACTGATTTCTGGTTTGTAATTAACCAGAGATCCAAGATCTCAATCTTTCTAAACATTTTGAGGCTTGTTTTAAGACTGAATATGGTCAATGTGACAAATGTTCTATGTGTATTTAAAATGAATGTATTTTGTGCAGTTGACTAAAATGTTTTATACATGTGACATAGATGAAGGTGGTTAATAATGTTCCAGTCTTCAGTACACTTACTGATTTTTTGTCTACCTGTTCTCTAAATTACTGACATAATAGGGAGAGGTTGTCTATATTTCATTCCACTTCTATCCATTTTTGTCTTATGAATTTTGAAGCTCTATTTTTAGATGTATGTAAATTTAAGATCATCATTTTGATGAACTGGTTCTTTTATCATTATGATATGTCACTTTTTCCTCTGATAATATAATGCTTTGTTTGGTAATTCGGTAATTGTTATGGGTTGAATTATGACTCCTTAAAAGTCCTATGTTGAAGACCTAACTCTCAGTACCTCAGAATATAACAATTTGCAGAAAGAATATTTTCAAGTTAAAATGAAGTCATCAGGGTGGGCCCAAGTCCAACATGACTGGTGTCTTTGTAAAAGAGGGAAACCTGGACAGAGACATACATAGAGGGAAAACAATGTAAAGAGACACAGGGAGAAGAGAGGCATCTAAAAACCAAGGAGAGAGGCCTGGAACAGATCCTTCCCTCACAGTCCTCAGAAGGAACCAACACTGATGAAAACTTCATTTTGGACTTCTAGCCTCCAAAACTGTGAGAGAACACATTTCTGTTGTTTAAGCCACCCAATTTGTGGTACTTTGTTATGACAGTCCTAGAAAACTAATATAGTAATGATATGACTAGCTGGCTGTTTTTATTAAGGTAGTGTTTGCATGGTATACCTCTGTTCTGTCCATTTACCTTTAACATATAAATGCATTTATATTTAAACAGGGCTTCTTGGTTGCCAGAGTCAGAGGAGTGGGAGAAATGGGGAGATGTGGTCAAAGTGTACAAACTTTTCATTGTAAGATGAGTAAGTTCTGGGAATCTAATGTTTAATATGAAGATTATAGTTCATAATATTAAACTGCATATTTAAATTTCTAAGAGAGTAGATCTTTAAGTATTCTCACCCCACACACACACACACACACACACACACACACACACACACAGAGGTAACTGTGAGGTGATGGATATGTTAATTAACTTGAATGCAGTAATCATTTAACAATGTATATATGTATCAAATCATCATGAGGTAGACCTCAAATATATATAATTTATACTTGTGAATTACAACTCAATAAAGCTGGAAAAAAATACCTACTGAAAAAGAAAAAAAAGAGCTGGTTTCTTCTAGGCAGCACATAAATGAGTATTGCCTTTTTATGCAATTTGGTTTCTTCCTCCTTTAAATTATATAGCTTAGGCAAATAATACTTCAAGGTAGCACAATTTTTTTATTATATTATTTTATAAATAAGACATTGGTCATAAAACTTCAAATAAAAAATACATAAATAACTTTACCACAGCATTTTTTATAATAATGAAAACATGGAAATAAAGCAAATCTTCACCAATGAGGGAATTAATCAATTTTGGTATATTTATATTCCAGACTATTAGCAACCAATAAAAATTATGGGTTTTTTTGTCTTGTATACATCACAAAATAGCTAATTTGAGCAAATTAATTTATCCATTACCTCATATATGTATCATTTTTTGTAATCTACTCTCCACAATTTTTAAGAAAACAATACGCTGTTACTAACTATAGTCTCTACGCTGTAGGATAGATCTCTTCAACTTATTCCTCCTAACTAAAATTTTGTATCCTTTGACCAACATCTCCCCAGTCACCCCACCCCTAACCTTGGTAACCACCATTCCACTCTCTACTTCTATGAGTCTAACTTTTTTAGATTTCACATATTTAGATCACACAGTATTTGTCTTTCTGTGTCTTGCTTATTTCACTTAACAAAATGTCCTCTGGGTTCATCCATGTTGTTGTAGATAACAAGATTTCCTTCTTTTTAAAGACTGAGTAGCATTCCACCGCATATATATACAACAATATTTTCTTTATTCATCAGCTGATGTACACTTAGGTTGATTTCTGTATCTTGGCTATTGGGAGTAATGCTGCAATGAAAACAGTAGTGCAGATATCTCTTTGACATACTGTTTTCATTTCAATTAGATATACACCCAGTAGTGGCATTGCAGGATCATGTGGTATTTCTGTTTATACGTGTGTGTACCATTATGACATATATCATGTGTGTGTGTGTATTTATACACACATATACCATTATGATATATATTATATATGTATCTTTGAAAATAGCAATTATATCTATATATATACATATAAATATCTTTCCTGAAAGGTTAGTAAACTTTCCATAAAAGAGATAAATAGTAAATCTTACAAAATATATTTTTCTTGGGGTAGGGTTAGGCAATCTTTTATTTAATGATTATTTGCTAAATATATACTCTGCTAGACACCATACCATATACTAGGGAAAACAGTATATTATAATGCAGTTTAGTCAAAAGAAAATTTAAAACAGTACATTATAATGCAATTCAGTCAAAAGAAAATACTAATAATCATTATTTACTATGAAACATAAAACAGAAAGTTATAAATTTCGAAATAAGTGAGAACACTAATACAGATCAATGTTAATAAGAATATTAATACTGGTTAATTAATACAACTATTAAGACAGATCACTTTCCCTAAGTTTCTCATATAAAACAGTACCTGGTTTGAGGCAATCCAAAACTTGTACCAACGCCAACACGAGGTAGATAGTTAACCACTTTCTTTACTGTTGCAGGGTCTGGGAAGTTGAACATTACAGCAACTACAACAAATAATTTTTAAAAATCAGAACACAGTATAACTTCCCTTCTGGAAAACTGACTCCTTGGTCCAATAAAATATTTACTTTTAATTCAGGTATCTATTCAATATAATTCTTACTATATTCCTTTTATATGGTATATATCAAGTTTTAGTATTAATATGCCAGTGGTAATATTCATTTCACTTATAAACTCCTTTACCATAGACAGTTCTTTCCTAAATACTATTAGGAGTTATAACAGTTGATGTTGCATTGATGTGACATGAAGTTGAGATTATGAGACATGATAATAATAATGATAATGATAGCTGAGATAATGTGACATGAAGCTGCAACTTTAAATTTACAAAAATGAATTTTGGCAAGTCAAAGGTATTTCTAGGAATTTCTAGAAACAAATGTTAAAAATTTAAGTTCATATAGTTAAACAACTAACACTAAAAAACCACCAATATACCTATGAAATAATCAGTTACATTTATTTCCAATCATTTTTAAAACAGTCTTTTTACCATGTCTATATGTTTATCTTTCATGTGTTCCAATGAGCAAATGTTCATATAATCCAAAACAATGTATGACCTGAAGGAAAATTTTTCCTCTGTGGTTAAAAATCAAATTTAAATGTTTTCTCATCCTATTTCAATAATTTCACATACATGAGAATACCAATAAGCATATGTCAATATGTAAATATATTTAGCATATAAATGTTAATCTATGAGAGTAATCTATAAATTTTTACCCATCTTAAAGAACATGAAAGTAAAATCACACAATCATGAGAGAGTTTAGAAGATATTCATTTGGTCAGTCATGGAATTTTAACTTCAATATCAGAATCATATGTAAGCTACAAGCGCTCATCTAGAAGATGGTCCTTCTTCTCTACCAAGCGTTAAAAAATACTTAAAGCCAAAAAAAAAAAAAAAATTACCAATGTTGCCACAATTTTTAAACACTGGCATTGTCAACAAGTTTCAGGTATTCAGGTAAATAAGTAATCAATCATTCACTAACCACCTACAACATATTTAGTAATGTTATATATATACACATACACATAAGAATATATACACACACATAAGAATATATAAAATACATATTATATATGAGAAGAATATATATTTAATTATATATAAGAATATATATTATATATATGAATATATATTATATATATTCTTATCTGTGTGTGTGTATGTATACTTTAAATAAGCCTCCTTTACATATCCACTATTACACTGAATTCAGGGGGAAAAAATAAACAGACGAAAAAACCATCATAGGTTATGGCAGATGGTCAAGGCCATGAGGCAAAGGCAACAGAAAAACACACATATAAAAACAAGCATGCATAAGAAATTTCAAAGAAAGAAAATGAATGAGGATGAGCAAGTAATAAATATTCTAAGATTGAAGCCCCTTTGGGACAGCAAGGATGCGGACTGAAATAAAGTATGAAACATTCTCTTGATTATTTCCCTAGAATAATGATTACATTAGAAGAAGAGGTATGTGCCAGGAGGAGATCAAAAAGGAAAGGGAAAAATATTTTCCCAAAGAAATTTGTGTTCCCTAAAGACAAATAATTTCATAAAGGAAAAACAAGACGTGTGTGTGGGATATATGCAGGCATGTGTACCTTTAAAAATAACCGTCAAACCACGTATATATAATACAAGGAATATGTACAATAAATCAGTAGGTTTTACATCTATTCCATTGTATGCCTCCACCCATACCAAATGAAGCTTTTCCTTCAAGTTCAACTTGTCTCCCCTTCTTGTCTTAATGGATTTCACCAAGTTCCATTGTAAAACCACAAATCAAATTTTAGTTCAACTTTCAAGAATGATGAAATACAGAGCAAACAGAACAGTTCAGTATCATTTTCTCATGGTTCCTTTATAAACGAAATATATCAGACAAGAGATTAAATAGATGTATGAATCATTAAATCATCCTCTCCTCTCCCCCAAATGCAGCCACCTTCCAGAAGGAATGTAAGCATCAAAGCAATGCTCAGGACATCAAAATTCCTCTTCAAACCGATTAAATGGTTATGTATTCCTTATGTTTATAAAGCCTTATATCAATTTGTGATATGGCAAAAAAAAAAAATTACAAATGATTCTATTAATAATCAAGGTGGGAAAAAACCATGAAGAAGCATTTGGTACAAAAACAGAGGTCACTAGAACAGAGGGTAGGCTACAAATTACTATCTAAATTGAAGCAATATGGTATGTTCAAAAATGAAATCTTAAGAGATGGAAGTTAGCTCTGTAACAATGTACTTCTGTAACATATTACCTCTGTTTGCCATAAAGATCTCCAGGGCTGTATTTTGCAAAAGATAACGACGAGAAAAGATTGATCGTATCTCTGTGAACAGCCATTTTCCATGCAGCCCTTCTGTATACGCCAGGATCTAATGAGGAAAAAAATAATCCCAGGTAAGTAACAATACTTGTTTTTTATTGTTGTTTCTTTCCCCAATTAAAATAGAAAAGACCCTATTAAGAAAAATAATTTTAAGAAAAAGGATTTAATAGTTACTGACATAATTTGGAGATGAAGAAAATAAACTAATTTATGGAAAAGAAGTTTAAATAAAAAAGCAAAGTAAAATTATAAAACATTTAAGTATATATTTGGGCTTTTAAAAACAATGATATAATCTACTGCTTCTGAGGAAATACGTATTGCATCATTTACTAATTGATTTTTAAACCACATTATGAAACATGAAACTTCAGATAAAATCTTAGAAACAAAAAGACCTCAAAAGAGGCCACATATGCTTATAAAACACATACACAATTCAGTTTCACATGATTATAATTTGCCCAATAATGCTTTTACATACATTATAATACAAATATATTAAGTTCATAACTTTATAAAATGACACTTTTAAGGTCACTGTTAAGGCAACAGTCATTCAGAAAGTGCAAAGACTATATAGAGGTTAAGTATCATTTTGTCAGCTAAAGCTAAACACAAACCTGCAAATGAACTTAGCATAATCTCCCTATGGGATAGGTGGTTGTCAGAGTAACTTGTTACAATTCTTGTCATCCCAAGTGACAGACAGAGTTGCTTAAAATGCTTTGCCAATTCAAAGTAATCCTGTCTTTAGTTCTAAGCCACTTTGTTGCTTTGTTATTCAAGTTTTGTTTTTCAAAAAGTTCATTTCAAAAGTTAAATTGTGAAAATGTTGAGGGAAAACCAGACTCAGCATTTCTCTACACCTGTACTATACATAATACATAAGAAAATGAGATGCCTTTCTATCAAAACCTGATATTCTATGAAAGCAAATTAAGTTAAAAAATTAAGACATATCTCTCAAAAGTAACCACTATTAAAAATTACAAATGAAACATCTGATTATGATACTGCATTGTAGGAATAAAGATGGGATGAGCAAAGAGGAAAAAATAAAGAATAGTAAAAATTTATCCTTCTCAAACTGTTTTTTCTTTATTCATTTTCATTTTCAAAATCCTAATGGCAAATACATCTACATTCTTCAAAGCAGAATGTAGGTTTTTTCGGAAAAAAAAGAGTAGCAAACCTTATTTAAGTCAGGAAGTATATATTTCAGTCTTTCTACAAAAATGATTCTATTTCTGACACCACAGAATCTAGAAATAAAATGGATATAACTCTAAGGGGGAGAGTTTCTTAAAAATACAAAACAAAAAGTTCAAAGGACAAGATAATCATGCATGCAGTTTTGAAATGGATGACAGAGAAATCCTACTAATTCAATAATATAATCAATACCTATGTAAAATAAAGGTAAATGAACAGGAAAAAAGAGGACAAAAATATTAATATTACTCTCAGAGATTGCATGTATCTCTGTCTCTCACTTTGATCAGACATACCACCAGTTGGTCTATGGCCCCAGAGTCTTCAGAGGCCTCCATTTGTTCTCTCTTTTATTTTTACCACTGAAGTCTACCATGACCAGAGGACCCTTCGCCTCAAAATTTTAAAATATAAATCAGATCACATCATTCCTGTATTTAATAGCATCCAGTGACTTCCCATGACATATATAATAAACTCTTAAGCTCTTTATAATTGCATAAAGCCTCATATCTGGGACTGTCTGATGAGCTCAGCTCATTCTTCCTCAGGGCCTTGTTTTGTCCTTGTTTTCCACTCTGCCTGGAATGTTCTCCCAAATCTCCACATGGTTCAATCAGTCTCACATTTAGACTTCTCCTCTTATGTCACCTCTGCAGTGAAGCCACAGGATCTAAACCCCAGTAACTCTATTAACAACTCATCCCACCCCAAACTTATCAGATTTTCTTCATAATACTTATCACTACCTGAAATTTTAAATATTAATTTAATTTTCGAGACAGGGTCTTATTCTGTCACCCAGGCTGGAGTGCAGTGGTGTGATCACAGCTCACTGCAGCCTCAATCCCCTAGGCTCACATGATTCTCCCATCTCAGCCTCTCGAGTAGCTGGGACCACAAGCATGTGCCACCACATCTGGCTAACTTTTAACATTTTTTTTTTGTAGAGATGAGGTCTCACTATGTTGCCCAGGGGGGCCTTGAACTTCTGGGCTCAAGTGATCCTCCTGCCTCAGCCTCCCAAAGTGCTGGGATTATAGGCATGGACCACTACAACTGGCTACTAACTGAAACTATAATATTTGCTTGCTAGTCTATTGCCTCTTCAGCACTAGAATACTAGAATCTAAGTTTTATTACAGCAAAGACTTTGAATACACCCTACTTCCAATGCCTAGAAAAATATCTGGCATGAAGTGGCAATTTTCAGATTGACTAAATGAATCAATGTATGGCAACCTTCACTCCATATTTGACCCACATGATATTTTAACAAAATTTCACATGGTTGAAAATAGTTAAGAAAACAGATATTTGCAAAAATATTCGGATTTCTGTCTTCTCAAGAAAAACCAGGGTATCCGACAAACCTGGATCTATATGCCACATAGTAACAACTGGCAATGCGCTCTCCATTTTGGTACCATTTTCACTTCACTTATTATTATTCACTAATGTAATGTGAGCATTCACTCATTTACTATTATCCACCTAGCTTCCATTGGTACTTGAGTTTGCTACCCTGGATTTACCAAATATTAGAGAATCTAATATATATTCTACAACATTTATAGTCCAATGTATCCATAAGGAAAAAAAGAGCCAGGGCCAGTGGCTTACACTGGTAATTGCTGAGCTTTGGGAGGCCAAGATGGGAGGACTGCCTGAGGCTGGGCAACATAGCAAGACCCCACCTACACAAAAAATTAAATAATTAGCTGGGCGTGGCAGCACGCACCTGTAGCCCTAGCTACTCAAGAAGCTGAGATGGGAACATCACTCAAACCCAGGAATTCGACGGCACAGTAAGTGATTGCGCCACTGCACTCCAACCTGGGCAACAATACGAGATCCTGTCTCTAAAAAAAGAAAAAGAAAAAAAGAAAAACGAGGCCTAGACATGTTAAATATATGAAACAAAATTCCTTGTCAAGTTAGTGGCAGAATCTTGCCTATTCCCAGGTTTTCTAATCCAAAAATACAGAGCTTCCATTGTATATGCCACATTGCCACATTTTTAAGAAAGGGTGAAACATCTGTTAAACTAGAACCCAATTAACTGCTTAAAATTTTCCTTCACTTGGGTTAAAGAGGGAAGAGGAAAATCAAAGGAAAACAAACAAAAAAATCTTTTAAACTCTTTGATAAGTTAGGAATATCACACACTGGTCTGAAAATTCTACCCTTTGTATCTATAGAACTATATAATAACATCTGTTGCTCATAATAGTGAATTCACTCGTTGCAAAGTCACGATCATACAACTAAAGATTTAATCACATTCTAGATTACTCCATTTATTAGGAGAAATGAGTATACTACAGCATTGTTATAAGATTTTTAATGTACTGAAACAGTTTTCTGATTAAACAAAATATACCATTTATATTCCATTCCCTTAAACAGTACGGTTATTCAAAGATCTGCTTGAAACACAGCAAGTGTCATAGTCCTTTAAAACCTGTTTTACTCCAGTGTCAAAAATACTCAGTAGTAGGCCGGGCGCGGTGGCTCACACCTGTAATCCCAGCACTTTGGGGGCCAAGGCGGGGAGTTCACGAGGTCAGGAGATGGGGACCATCCTGTCTAACAAGGTAAAACCCCGTCTCTATTAAAAAAAAAAAAAAAAGCCAGACACGGTTGCGGGCGCCTGTAGTCCTAGCTACTTGGGAGTCTGAGGCAGGCGAATGGCGTGAACTCGGGAGGCGGAGCTTGCAATGAGCCTAGATCTCGCCACTGCCCTCCAGCCTGGGCGACAAAGCGAGACTCCGTCTCAAAAAAAGAAAATACTCAGTAGTAAAGAAAATGACATAAGCTCCATGCACCTTCTACTCAGTAACCTTATAAGATCATAACACTTTGCCATACTATTCTATACATCTATAAGCAAGTGATAAATGCATTACAGACAGTGCTAAAATTTCACATGCATAACCCTTCCAGATCCCATTTTCCTCTGTCACAGCGAATCACTATCCTTGTTTTTAGGGTTATCATGTATATGTACATTCCTATATGTAAGTTTTTATACTATTAGTACATACATATCCATAAATAACATACATCACTTTGTATGTTTTCAAACCTGATATAAATGGTATCATACTGAATGTATAATGATATGCTTTTCAAGTTAAATATGACAAAGTCTAATGAAGTTTTAAAACAGAGAAGAAAAAACAGCATGAGAGAAAATTATTTTAAATTGCCAAATGTGTCAAAAATTAAAATCTTACACACAAAATAGCCTAATCTTTAAAAAATTAAATAAAATTCCACAATTAGGGCCAAAAATATTGAGATTTAAAATAGAAACTAGCAATCTCTTAACTAAGGAATTACTAGCTGAAATTTATATAATATTTCTTTAAGTGTTCATTAGGAAAAGGTGTCAGTACCGAAAAGCAGCTGAGGCCTAACTAAGCAAGGGGTTCATTTCTTATTGGAATAGTATAGGCCTGGTCTGAGGCTTCACTTCAAAGTCTCTAGAGTTCAATTAAAACTGGATTAGGTAGAAACAGACCCTTCTTTGGGACTTTCTGTTCACTGAAACTCTACATACACTGACAGCACCTTAGACAGAGGTCTAGCCCTCCAGTGAATCAGTTGCCATAGAAACCATATCATTACCATTGCTCTGCAGTTATGACCTCAACTCCTGAATTGCTTGAAATCTTTACTCTCTTTGAATGTTTACCACCTTGTTTTATTATTGTTAGTATTAGTAAATTAAACTTTCAGTTGTTTTAAATAATTTGTTTCAAAGATGGTTTATTAACTAAATGTTGAGATAGTGTGTTAGAGAGGAGAGAAAGGATTTAGTATTGA